CTATGTATAAAGTATATATCTGTATAAAATAGACTTGAGATAGAAGTTAAAATGAGATTTTTGTGGTCTTTATAGATCTCCATTATTGCTACATAAATTGTTATGCTTTCTTTTTCATAAAAAAAAAAAAACATTTCAAGTAAAATATGGAATCAGATCTTGTCCTCTACCCTAGCTCCCCCGTCTGCCTCTTAGGTTCACATTATTGGTCATGTGCTTTCACAAACTCGATTATTTGAGACATTTTATGAATTGAGCTTAATCTACTTCTATAATGGTAGAGGTTTATTTGTTCTAGCCCACTGAAAATGGAAATTGAATGATTAAATTCAGGCTTTCAAACATACTTAAGAAAATAAATGATTTATTAGAGTTATTTGTTCCTTAAGTGCACACAGCCAGGCAAACGAGACCTCATACAAAGGTGGAATCTGAGTGCCTGCTGCTAATGTTTGTGAACACTTGGTTAGGAGAATCAATGGGTCAAGCCAGTAACTGTGTATAGTATACATGAATGCCCCATAGCAAAGAATAACACTGTTAAATACACCTACTAAGAAAATATATGAAAGGGCCAGATTGTCTGTCTTGAGGGTATCAGAGGTTATTAATGAGTTGGGAAAACACTTGTTAGTATAATTGGAAAGCCTACTTTTTTTCTAAGTCTTTAAGATAAGTGGTTTTCTATAGCTATCCCAAAGAGTGCGTGATATTTTATCAGTCTTGACTAATGTCACTCTTTTGGATGGAGTTCAAAAGGTTCTCTCTTCTAACCACTTCTAATTTAATAATGGGTACAGTTCAAGGGACATTAATCATGTGCTGAACACAGTACTTATTTGCAGTTTATATTGTGCACTTACATAAATTGTGAAAAGTCCAATCATTCATTAGCAGAGATAGTCCACAAGAAAATTACTGTTTTCTACTACAGCTTATGTCAAAACCCAAAAATCTTTGACTGAACTCATAGTGTGACCCACTAAATTAATCTCATGCCATTTTCAAGATTTATGTGTCACGTCTATCGAGAAGATGAAACATTATTAGAGAAAATGACTATGTAGGAAATAGATTTTAAAAAATCAGAACCCAGAATAAGATTTGCTCAATAAGTAGAATAAGGATGTGGCTACTTAGCATTTAAAAAGTCTCAATAACATGCTCAACATAAAATTTCAACTGCATAAAATATTACGTTTTGTATTCTGTATACTGTAATTACAAAACAAGAAAAAAATTCTATGAAAACAAACTGTCTAAAAGTGATTAATTAAAATCTGTGATATACTTTTGATTTAAAGCATGCATATCTTGGAAGCAACCCTAAGTGTATATTGCTAGATGAATAGTAAAGAAGATGTGGTACATATATACAATGTAATATTATTACTCAGTGATAAAAAACGAACAAAATTTTGCCTTTGTGACAATGGATGGACCTATAAGGTATTATGTCAAGTGAAATATGTCAGACAGGGAAAGATAAATGCCATATGATCTCACTTATATGTGGAATCTAAAAAACAGAAGAAATGAACAAATAAGCAACAAACAAAACAGAAACAAGACTCCTAAAAAAGAGAACAGATTGGTGGTTGCACAGAGGTGGGGATAGGGGAATATGTAAAATAGATGAAGGGGACAGAGAAGTATAAACTTTCAATTGTAAAACAGTCATGGTGATGAAGTACAGCATAGAGAATATAGACAATAATACTGTAATATCTTTCTATGATGACAGTAACTATACTTTTTGTGGTGAACATTCATAATGTATGTAATTGTCAAATCACTATGTGTTATGCCTGAAACCAATATAATATTGTATATCAACTATTTTTCAATAAAAAAGTAATGTATGTATACCTTTGGAGATCCATTTCCCTTAGAGTGGACCAAGGTATTCATTAAACAAAGTGCTTAAATGAATTATATGAAAGACTCAAGATGAACTGGGACATTGCAAGATGTACAATTCTAAGAAAACTACTCATCTACAAAGAGACACTGTTCTACTGTTCTGATCCAGTCAGGAAACCATATATTATGTTGGAAAACAAATTGAGCTAACTCTGCTTTGTTTGTTTTTGTTTTTCTCATGAATTGGCTGTTTATCCTGACAATAAAAGGAAGTGGGGGCAATACTCTGGATCACTCAAAACAAATATTCGTCACAGACATGGTATCTCAAATAAAACACAAAGTTGACTCCGTATATTTATGGGAACAAAAACAAAATTGATGTCTTCTTATCTGCTTAAAACAAATCAATTCTTGTCTAATTAAATAATTTTCTCCCTATCCTCTGTCTATACATTATTTTTAATTTAAAATTATTTCTTAAGGTTTAATATTTTTTGCTTTTTTCTTCTCCATATTATTAGCAATCTCTTTCTATACCTCTTATAGAACTATTCATGCCCAACTTCATATAGATATATAAATTACAAACCTGCTTATTGTCTAAATGTCAGAAGTAACTTAATAAAAAAATCTGTCAAAATATTGTTACCAAAAAAGGCACATGACTATAAAGGATCCACATTACATTACAAATTCCATCTTGTTTCCATCCTCAACACCCTACCCTCTGCTCAAAAACTAATCTGAGATTAATTGTTGAAAAGTGTCGGTTCACTAAAATATAAATATTGACTCATAAGCTTGAATAAAATATAAAGTAACCTATGATTGGCTCCTTCTTGGAAAACAAGAATGTTTTCTGTGGGACTAATATGAAGGAAGGAGCTGTATTAGGATGAACACTTTCTATTCATTGACAGCTGTTAACATTCATACTAAAATGATTTTATTTATAAACTTTAAGATTAAAAGAAAAGTGAAATTAAGTAACTAAAACTGTAAAAACTACACATGAATTGCTTCTCCATATATCTGAATTCTAGAGGGATGTCGAAATCAATGGCCATTACATTTATGTATGATTGTATTTTTATTCATTCATTGTGATTATATTGTTTATTCATTCACTCAATAAACTTAGTTGAAACAACTCTATGGGCAAGATTTTCTGCTAAGTGCTGGGACACCAGGATGAATAAACCATAGCTCTGGTCTGGGAGTTGTTCAGCCTTATGGAGGAGACAGGCATAGAAACAAGTAACTTTAGATCAAGGAAATGTGATAAAATATGCAAATTATGGTGTAAATTCACACAGGTTTTGTGAGTGGTGTTAAGAGTATCAGAGGAGAAAGAAGCAAAATGGAGAAGAGGGTTAAGTTGAGGGGATATGCAGTTTCATGCATGCGTGGGATCTCTGGGTGAAATACTGGGCTGGTGCTAGACCTTTGTGCCCTCAGATGCATTCTCTGTCTCTTCTGCCTTTGTCTGGGAGTTGGGGCCCTCTTGGATGTTTCCAAGCCCCTCTGTCAGTCGGCTTCCAGGTGGAGTTAATCAAGCACCAGCAGAGATTAGAGGATGGGAGGAAGGGAGAAATTGAGATGTTTCTCCCCATCCTTTCCTTATTGGCCTCAGCATATATTTCTGGCATTTGCTGTGTCTCTTCTTGGTCTCTTGCTCCCAGCAATACAGGCTTGTCCTGGTCTCAACTTTCACTGGCCTCCAGTCTACAGAGACAGTAGCTTCCTTCTGCTACTTCACTAGCCCCTGGTTTCTCAGGCTCGTCCCTGAGTATATAATAATTGAGAGTCATAAATTTCCTCTATTTTAAGTATTCAGAGTGATTCCTATTTTCTTGGATGGACACAAGTGCTTGGCAGACATGAGCTATCTGAACCTGAATTCCAGGGAGTTTGGATGGTAGATTTGGGACTCATCAACATATAGGTGAGAGTTGATGGGTTTATGCAGTCAGGGTAGGTGAAAGAATTGGTGGATTGAGGATGGAAGTTGGAGATGTGCCATAACTAGACGAAGCACAGTCTTTGAATGAGTCCGAACAATTTTTAGTAGAACCAGAAAAATGTGATATCCACTTAAGTCCACAGAAACCTACTAGGCATCACTTAGACACAGCATTTGTCAGATGAGGTTTCTGAGGATACAAGTCAGGTAGCAAGTTAGGTTATGGGATTTCAAACTCAAATCTAGGTCTCCTTTTTCCCCATATAATGTCCTTGTGACACCATGTCATTAATCATGCTTTTTAACAGCATGTGATTTGGTAACATTTTCCTCAGTTCACGGCACTTATTCTTATCCTCTGTGACGTTTGTACTTTAGTACTTTTTTTAGGTATAACCAGTATATAGTATTATTTACCTTCATAGATAATTTTAAGAATTAAATGAGATAATACATGAAAAGTACTTAGAACAGTGTAAAGTAATTAGGATAGTTAAAATTACTGAGAGGTTGGTACAATTCATGAAGGATATCAGTGCTATCAGATCGTGTCACAATATTATGAAAGATAAGCTAGTCATCACACATCTTCCAGATACTGATTATGTGTTTGCTCAAGTTAAAGATTTTTTTCCCCTTTGTAACACATTCATTATTTGTTTAATAAAACCAAGTTTAATTTCAAATTATATTTTTCACTTGAGAAGTTAGGGAAGTCATTTTTTTTTCTATAGAATAATGTTTATACCATTAGTTTCCTCTCTACTCCATATATATAAGGATTTCCATTGACTTAAATAAGATTTCATGATTTAATTTCTATTTGCATGGTATTTTAATGTAAAAGTGTTTTGCATTTCAAGTAGATTTTTTTTTTCCTTGAGAAAGTCTTTTGAGTTTCTTTGCTGTCATTCTTTTCATTCTTCTTTCTCCTTAACATATTTACTATCCCAAAGTGCTTAAATGTCAAATATCAATGAGGAAATTGGGGAATTGTTAAATGAAGTTATAATTCTAATTTCATAGATAATATAGACAATGATGACTTACTTCCTAGTGCTTTTTCCATTAGTACTTAGAAATTTACATTCAGATTAAAAGAAAAACAAATCAAATACTTAGAGTGTAACATGGATTTAACCAAAATCCAGTATGATAAATTTTAACTTACCTTCAGTGTCTGCTAGCCCCACTCCTACTCCTGGTTGTTTTACAGGATCTTGCCCATTCTGCCCCATCTTCCCTCTGTTTAAAAAGAATATAATAGGTTATATATTCAGTTAGGATCTCCTAAATGCAAATGAGGAGGCCAAGTTCACAAAAAATAGAATGACATTATATATTCAGGCCTGTAATAAATTACTTGAATAGCAAATATAAACACAAAAAATTGTTAATTTATGCTAATAATTCATGTTAATAGGAAGTTTTTATTATTCCTACTTAGTTTAAATATAATTCCTCAAAATTCAGTCTTACCTGTTGATCCATTTATCAAACATCAGACCATCATAAGTTTTCAAATTTTGTTTTAGAATTGGGGGAGGGGTCATTTTTTTCCATTTTTAACCCAAGAAGTGAGGAGAGTTTTTATATCTTTACACTTTGTTATGAAGAGCTGTATAGATCTTTTGGTGATAAGGCAAATTTTGAACTAGCCAATAACATAATAATATTGTAATAACACAGATTTTTATTTCTTTCACTTAGTGATTTTCTTTCAGATCCTTTCTGTGTTTTCAGCTGTGTTAGCACATCGGCTTTTGATGTCAGACTGCTTGGTCTCTGCTTCTGGCTTTGCTATTTCATGCCATGTATCATCTAAGGCAAATCTACTTAACATGGTGAAGACTATTTCTTTTATTTGTATGTAACATAAGAATAGTAAGACCTTTTCAGTATGAGAAAATCAGATGGAAAGTGTATATAAAGTGCTAAATACAGTGCCTGAAAAACACGATAAGATTCAGTAACTGTAAACTATTAATTAGGTAGGTATGCATATAACAACAGCTTCAGAATTCAGCCCAAGTCTACTCACTTTTAGTTCTAGACTCAAAACTTTCTGGAAGGTCAAATAGATGAAGAATTCATGGTACAGTGCTCAAAGTACCATGAATTCAGCAAAAAGACTACAGGCCACTTATTTCTTCAGTCAGAGGAGAAGTTACATGGCCTACAAAAGATTTTGGAAATGCCTTTATGGGTGTACTATAGAACATCACTTTTCTGAGATGTTCTTAAAAGATGAAATAAAAACACTTAAGTGTTATGTTAAAAAGGGTACTTGAACAAAAGAATGTCTTGATACTATACTTTGTAGACAATAATTCTAGCATAGCAGAATTTACTAACAGTTAATTCTTACTTCCCAAAAAAATATTTGGTTTGCTGAATTTATTGAAACTGTGACCATACCTATTTCTTAAGAATCCAATTATATTTTACTTGAAAACTGCTGTAAAGATCCTCTTATCATTCTATATGGTTTTGCATATATCAAAAAAGGAACAGATGCAAATTCAGAAATTATTTTATTTTGAAAACCACTACATTGAACTATTAGAACAATTCTAGGTCAAAGGTTAAACACAAATTTTTATTAAGTGATTATGTGTAAGACTAAGTGCATGTAAAAATTTAGACTATATATACACAAATATATAGTTTGTATCCGAGTATATACAAAAACATACATGTATATTTGTACACATAAATATACATACATATATAGTCTGCATCTTAATACATATTTGCAAAAACGTCGATTAAGCAACGCACAAAACTTCAATTTGTGTAATTGCTTCAGTGAAATTCAGGGCAAGTAGTTGATAATTAAAAAAAATTAACTCAGCTCTGTCTGTTAGGATTAAACAGGGAGAAAAGCTTAGTAACTTAGTAAGCAATCACTACTTTCACCTTTAGCTCTCACTAGTAGAGCAAGCAACAACATACCTTGCTACTGAGCGAAACTCAATTGAAAGTGAAGATCATTTTAGTAGTGTTAATCTAGATCAGGGTGCTGAAAAATTATTAACCAATTCTATGCCCAATTTTAACAAAATAATTATAATTTTTAGTAATTGTAATTGTAAAAGTTAATTTTTGAAAATTTTTTATTTGCTCTTGGGTCTTATATTTCATAGTTTAATGGTGATATTCAGCGGCAGCCTTCACCACTAAATGAAAGCTGATTTTAACATTATATACTTAATAATGCATTTCTGTGATCATACAGAAAAGTCTTGCAGCTGTGAAGCTAAATGAAATGCAAAGGAAATGTAACTGTGGGTTCTTTGAAGGATGCATTTTTTCCAGAATTCCCAATAAACAGTCTTCAGCTCATAACATTCTGTCTACACAGTTTATAATTCATATTTGTTAATCAACCTCCAAATAGTTATTGAACATTTGTTTGCCCATGAAATAAATGTGTTAGGCACAAAAGCCCATATGAAAGAAATATCAAATACTGCTTCTTACAAATAATCTGTAATGCTTTAGGAAAGAGAATTTTCTTTATGCTCATAGGGCAAAACAGTAGCCATCTTAGTGGTTTTGAAAGGCTTTGATTTATAAGACAAACAGGAAAATGGGAAAAAAAGTTGGAATGTGGTATGTATGTAAAACATACATAATCTACTTGTAGCTCACACATTCAGATATTCAGGGAATAATGCAGTTTTCTCTTTGGAAGTTCGAATTTTCTCATCAGTGTTAAATTATATATTTTGAATGACAGAAAATTTGGGAAGATATCACGTGATGTGTGGCTTAAAACCTTTGCAAATTCATGTGATACTCAGCTTAGAGAGAAGAATGTAATGAATTTGTTGAAATTCTCTTCAAACTAGATCATCAGAGATGGAGATTAGTGAAATTAGTCTCCTTTTAGAAATAATTTCTAATAAAAAGGAACTGATGAAACACAAATATTTGCTGAATCCATAGCCTAAATCTCACAAAAAAAGAAAGAAAAAAAATAGATGGACAGGTAATCCAGTAATTAATCAGTTTAAATAGGAAAAATGTAAGTGAAAATCACATAATAAACATATTTTTGCTGTACACATCCATTTTCCCCATTATTTTGCTTTGTCAACTGAGCCATTACCTAAATTCCGGGAATCAAAAGGAAAGATTTATGAAAACATTGACATACATACGTTAAAGTTCTACTCTCAGAGAAGGCTTGACTCAACATTGGAGGAAACGAGAAAGAATTTTTAACAAGGGCACAGACCAGGGTCTGCAAACTCTTTCTGTAAAGGGTCAGATAGTAAATGCTTGGAAGGGTCTCTGAGGCAACCATAGGCAAGTCCACCCCTGTGTTCAGAAGCAGCATTAGGTAAGACATGAGCGAGCAGGTGTGGCTGCGCTCCAACAAACTTAATTTATGGACACTCAAATTTCAATTTCATATCATTTTCATGTGCCAAGTAACACTACTCTTTTTCCTTTTTTTTTCCTCCTCAAACATTAAAAACGCAGAAGCTGCTTTTTCACTCACAGCCCTTGAAAAAAACTAGGCGGCAGGCTGGACCCGCCCTGGCCTGGATCCTGCAGCTGGATGGCCAGAAGTGGTGGTTTTGATAATGTAGAATACTACTTACCTGGCAGGAGAAGGGAAGGTCAGCAAGTTTCGGTTTTGATATTGTAACAAACATAACCACATATTTATCTGCACGCTGCTAAATTTTGCCACCAATACGACTAAACCTATCCTAACACATTCTAAACACAATCTGCTTTAGTTTTACATTGATGTGCATGCAATATGATTTTTTTGAGGCTTAACATCTTACAAATTTATTCCAAGAGTATCTACTCAGGGACCTAGGTATGACTTGATACTTAGTCTAGAAAATATGGAAACACTTCAGAACCTTCCATTTTAATTGTATTGAGATTTATAACTGAAAAGTAATTTCTGAGTAGCCCAATGTATTTTCTATTTCAAATATGATACATGAGTTCTTTCAATATGTTTCAACCTCTCCTGATTCAAAGCAAATTCACTTAATCTCAAATACCAATAATGTTTGTGTTTGGTCAGTATGTGATTAAAGCATCAGTATACTGCTCTGAACTTGATTCAGCCATGGCCAAGTTATCATTTAGCCGTTTTCCTATTAAATGCAGATTGTACTGATTAAGCGGTCTTGGTGGTGATCAGCATTGGTCTCTAGAATTAACCCAAGTAACTCAATCTTTCCTGAACAGTATATTTATTATTATTTTTATGTAGGCATAAACAGTTGAAGTCCTTCAGGGACAATGACTCAGAATTAGATAATTATCTAGTTATTTCCTGTTAAATGTTAAGAAAAGCTTACTCATGGGTGCTGTTAACTTTGCAGTGAAAAATAAAAAAAGGAGCACTCACATCCTTGGAAGAGGAAACAGGTTGGCGTCCCCCGCGGCGCCGCCGCCTGCCTCACTGTCCGCGCCGTGCCCGCTCCCGAAGCTGCCGCCCGTGGGGCCGGACGCCGAGCTCTCCGCAGGCCGGTGAGTGGCGGGCTTGGCTGCATGGTGCGGGAAGAGTCGACAGCACAGACAGTCAGTGGCATGCCCACTGATCCCCAAGTGCATAACCCTACGTTTTCTTTATTCACATGTACAAAGAAACGTCTCTAGCAAGAACCTCACATTTCTTAACCTGCCTTTCATTTTCTTTTCTTTCACCAATAATGCTCAGTGGCAACACTGAAGGTCTTGACTCTTTATTGGACATGAAGGAAAAAACAATCACTTCTAAGGATAACCCATCATATTTTTAGACGGAGTTAAATAGCACGTAAGCAGTCTATTATGATAATTATAATTATTATTACTTTTGTGGCTTATTTGTATGGTATTGCAATAATGATGTGCCAAACACTTAAGAATTTGGGCTATTTCATGGAGAAAGGAATTTATAAAGAATTGCGTAGCTGGAGGCAGCAGGATAAGGAAAAATTACTTAATTATTTTCCTACTAGTTATCAATAACCTGTTTTTTTCCTGAGAAGTGAAGATGCAAAATTGAACAGGTAGTTTCAAGAAGCAATTGAAAATTGGGTGCTTGCTTGTGTGTAGCTCTACCAACTCTCTCCAGGAGGTTTTTAATTTGAAAGTATTTGTTTCGGGCAGGCATTTCTTAGTTGATGACTGGGACTCGTTCAAAAAATGCCGTGAGTTTGATTTTGTGGATATAAGAATCCCTATTCCCATAAAACATGATAATTTTGTGCTGTAAATTATGCAGAAGTACTCCATTGTTAGGGGAGTACTCCTAGATCAGAGGAGACTTGGAAGGAACTTTTGCTGCAAAAAGAAGGAAAAGAAAACATCTCTTCTACTTCTGAGGAGACAAACTTCTCTAGGCAGAGTTCTGAAATTGTCCTCTGCCTCACGGGCAGGGTTTAAGAGCATGACTTTTGATCATAGCGATGTGGTTTTGAATCCCAACTCATTCTGGAGGCAATCGAAGATATCTCAATTTCCTCATTCGAAACTAACGGGGTCCATGATGTCCCCTCAGAAGCCTGACTATGAGGAGTGAGGTGGTCAGTGCTGAGTAACTCACTTCATCTTGTGGTTTGATGTACCACACCCCAGAAGACCTCCTCTACAGGGCTTCACTGTCCATGGCTGCTTCTTACTGCCTTTGAGCAGACATAGCCCCTAACAGTGAATTTGCCTATTCTCTTCTAATTCTAGACACATTCTAGGCTACAAAACCACATAGAGTCTCTCCCGGCCATAAATACACCTCTGTTCAATCAGGAGTTTCTCAAGCAGACATATAGATTCACACTACCTGGTGAAGAGCTGGTAATGATCCTAAGATATTTACATTCTTCTTAAGGAGATGTATACAAACACAGTGATTCTTAATCTGGTGGAATTTTCATATAACCAATATAACCAAATGAAGTGAAAAATATGAACATTGTGAGTGAGAGGAAGTGCACCATCAGGGTAGTCAGGATCAAGTCTTCCAAAGGTTTTAGCTTTTCCCCACTTTTTTCCCTCCTTCCATTTCAGAACAACATATTCTCTGAAATCACCAGGACTTTGGATGACATCTATTCCAGTGATAGTGTGGTCACTTTCTCAGAACAGGGAAATAGGAAATGTTTGTAAATTATATATCAGGTGTCTGTAAGTTGGGAATAGCTCTTTAGAAAAAGGCTTGGATCTTGTTAAATAGCCAGTCACCAATGAATTACTAGTAATGCATAGAATATATAGAAACAGAATAGTTATGTTTGTTCAACATTTTCTTCAACTAATGTAGAGGAAACCCTGATGGTGTAATTACTGTTAAAAAGAGGACTTTTTAAAAGGATAACTTAACAATGTAAAGGTGATATGACTATGACATAAAAATTATGAACATTTATGAAGTGAATTAAACTGTATAATCAACCACATAATAAGTCAGATTAGTCAACTGATTGTAAGCAAAGGAATGCTGCCATACTTTGACTGACATTATATAATCCAACCAAAAAATTGTTAATATTTTAGGATGATACTGAAGGAAACACTGTAATTTCATCAACTGGAAAACTCTCAATATATTATTTTTAAAGGCAAACATTAATTAATATGTACATTTAAGTCAACTTACTTTTACTAAATTAAAACAATTTTTATCCAAGAGCAATGTCACAATATATCAAACTAGCTACATTACAGACAGGATGCCTTATTTACATTTTAAAATATTCAGTCTTGTCTTTTGTGAATTATGATTTTACCTGGTGCAATTTCTAGTTCTATTCCTCTTCTGAGAAATTGTAGATATGTATAGAATGTAAAATGATATAAGAGGAATTGAACGAGGCTAGGAATAGATTTAAGGAAAGAATGTTTTTCATCTTGTCTAGGTGAACAGAAATCTCATTTGGAAAGTCTGAACAAGTGCTGTCAATTGAAATGCAGGCAAATACTTTATAAGAAATTTGAAAAGAAAGAAAACTAAATCTAGGAGACATATACATATACTGGACTAAGTTCAAGTCTACCTAACATCTTTGAAAATAAAATTACATGTAATGTTGAGTCATAGAAATTCGGGCAGTTAGAAGTTAGATGAATAATTCAAATAAATGATACTTGGCATTATCTTAAAACATCTGGTGCTTTATTGAATTTTTTCTTCTCAACCTGGTATGTAAATATAGAGTAGAGATATTTAGTTAGTTTCTGAAAATGAATTCAGTTAAAATGCAGAATGACCTTTGCTTTTTACTGGGCTCTGTCTATATAGCACAAAATGCAATTAAACATAGAAATGCAGAAGTTTTGATAAACTGATGCCAAGAACCAAAGTATTTTAGTAGTTCTCTCCAGATACTGGAAATAACATGTTTACTAATTCTTTCTTTTGAAATGCCCCCCCCAAATAAGTACATATCAATTCTATTAAGTTCAGCTAAACCTGCATTACTGAAAACTTTTTAATGACTAAAATGCATTTAGGTCTTAATATTGGAACCTGAATCTTAATGTAATTTCAAGACATCTCATATTTCAGTCAAAACCTTTAGTTTGCATCTCAAAGTCCTTTATCATCTGCTCCTTCCCAATGTATCTCCTGTAATGCTTCCTTTCTGTGGGCTTTGCATGGAAGCCCACCCAGACCATGCACTCTGACTCTTTCGGTTTGGCCTGCTTTCTTCTGAGCTTTAGCTTAAGGAGGTTCTGTCCAACTTTGTTATGCTTTCCTCTGTCCCTGTCACCTTCTCATATCAAAATTATAACAGTAAAGGCCCAGCTCTGAGAGCACCTGCTTCATGCATTCTCCTCATCTTCCCAGTCAGAAATGAACGGTCCTCTTATCTTCACTCTCATAGCACAAGATCACATATCTGTAACTGGCAACTACCACTTTTTACCGTTGTAGTTACATTCATGCGCTTGGTGGAGGCAGAGTTTCTGTTTTCTCCACAGTCGTCTTCTTAAAAGTTTATCTTGGAACTATGCTGAAGCAAACGTAATTAAGTATTACTACTAATACTACTAATAAACTAGGAATTTTCCCCTTAATCAAACTAAAACATCTGAATAATTTGGTAGAGATTTCACTTTTTATCTAGCTGTGTTTTATATGAACCATAAACTTCTCATCAACCATGCCACTTGACATGGGAGTTTTTTTCCCCTCATGTGCTTTGTCAAAGAAACTTTGCACAATATTTTTTTGTAGTTTTAAAAGTCCTAGATGCAATTTTAATCTGTCCTACTGTATAGAAAAATGTGACTACTCAACTAGATGTTTTGTTTTCCCAGTCACCCCCAAAGCTGGTTTGATTGGAAAAATTATTTAATAATACACGAAACATGGTAGAGCATAGCTTTGTGTATTTCAAAAAGTTCATCACAGACCATGGATATGGTTTAAAATTGTATGATTTCAAAATTAATGATTTAAGAATATTCTACCTCTGCTTAATTCTTCCAATTTCTTAAATTGTTTTTAGAAATCAGACCTGTTATATATAAATACATTATGTGCCTATGTATTACTTATGAGGAAAGTTTATTTTACAGAGCAATTGAGGTTTATTTAATAAAGCATATTTTTTGTTTCTATTTTGAATTTCTACTTTTACTATCAAGTACCAACTAGAAGAAAGACTATCCCACAAACACATGCTGGAAGGCAGCCATTCATGTAGAGCAGGTTCCTGTACTGGAAGAATGACCTAGAGTGTTGACTCCTTGTTATGACTGAGTTTTTGAGAAAGCATTTCAGGTAAACAAATTTCATCTTCTGTGAGGCAATTCAATATGTTGTAAATCATTCTTTGACCTCTTAATTGTCTTTGAATGCTACATGGTTAGACATCATTTTGTTTTATCACTCCACGGTGGCTAACCCCATAAACCTGGTGGTAGCTCTTTTGCACGTCTGTCTTCAGTCAGTCAGCTCTGTAGGTTTTTCCCCTCCACTGAAAAATGCAGCGCTATCACCGTTCCTACCACATGATGGCAGCACTGTGCTCAGAGTCCGTGGAACAGAGCTGTGGACTGGACTATAAATTACGGAACCATGGAAATTAAAAGCTTTTGAGTCTAGAGATAACCCACTCCAGAACCATCATTTCCCCTATAGAAAAACTAAGCCCTAGAAAGATGAAATGACTTGTCCAGGTCACATACTAATAAATGTGAGAAAGGAAAGAATCAAAACTAAACAGTGCTAATCCACTTTTCTTTCTGTTACATCCAGTTGTCTCTAATTAAGATTGCGGAGTCTCTGCCTGCCTTAGAATTTGGTACTTGGAATGTATACAGCTTTGCTGCCTACTATGTTCTGTCAGTGGTTTTATATCTGTGGTCCAGCTCAAATCTATTTCCAAATGTTTCAGGAATAAACTATAATGTAGGTGGGCAGCAATTTCCTAAATTATTTGGTTAATACAGTATTATCTTAATAGATACAATCTATAGGGTTTTATGATCAACTGTTTGGAATTAAATCAATCAATAATTCCTTTGTTTATTCCAGTAGTTTAATAGTAGAACTAAA